GAGCATGTATGCCCCGCTAGAGCTTGCCAAATTTTCCGTATATCGTATGTAAACGAATAGCATGTCATACTTCGTAGAAAGCTAAGTTGCCAGGGTGCGAGGCATGTATCCACTCGTTCCCTCATGCAACACTAGCACAACAGGCCCAGCAGTTGAGCTCAGAACCATGTTCAGCGGGCTGCTTTCTCCGCGTATTGCACCGCCTTGGGTCCGGTGGTCGCAGCGCCGATTCCCAGGATGGGTAGTTGAAGCACTGCAGTGTATTAAAAATTTGACTGAGACACATTGGAGGCTTCACTTTTGTGCTTTCTAGATGATTTTCCAACCAAGACAGGAAGGAAAGGACAAGTGGCTCGTTGTCTCGTGTGCTAATGCAAGAGCAGAAGAGAGCGTTTATTGTATCCGTGCAGTTCCATCGAAGCCTGGAGGTCGTCAACTCACATTTCGGTCCAGCAAGGAGAAGGGAGGCTTGCATTTACACGAAAAGAGCAAAACTCACTCCCACACGAGAAGTGACCGCACCACCGCCACCTCTCATTGAAATTTGCCCCACTGTAGCTGGAAGGAAATTTATTCATTTCAGCTACAGTAAAACAAACTTTTGCTTCTGTCTTTGAAGAGCAGCATGCCTCAAACAAGCCGCTGTGCCTCCCGTTCCGGAAGCCCGGCCTACACCGCTACACCGCACGGACAGCCCTGTAGCGAATCAGCAGGCCAGTGGGCTTACAGTGCAGTTACAAGCTAAAACCAGATACCTCTATTTGGGATCTTCCGGCCTTGTGATTTAATTGTTGAATCTGTGCTGAACACCATGAGAAAGCTCAGTTCAGTTCTGCTTGCCGCTGCCGTACTGGGGGCCGCCCACGAAGTCGAGAGCGCCGACTCGGATGAAAAGGGGTCGGCCGGTACGTGGAAGCAGAAATAAAACAAACTAATCCCATGTTGACTTTATGGGGAAAATTTCAGAGATGCTTGCAGCGGTTGTTGTGGTTTTGCTTCTGTGCAGCCCCCGCCGACTGCCTTGTCGACTTCAATGCGGCTCGAGAACGAGCAGGCCTCGAAGCCTTCATTGCAGAGACGGATGCAGAAAAACAGCTACCAACAGGCAAAGACGAGTACCTCGCAGCGATTTGCTCTGCCATACAGAAGGCAAGCGGCGTGTATTTGCTCTGCCCTTCACAAACTTTGTCTCTGTGAATGTCTGCACATCTGCATTTATATTCGGCAGCCGCTGTGGCACAAATGGAGCTGCACACATTCGCTTGCTATTCGGTGCGCTCAGGGAGCAACGTCTGAGATTACTGTGGCAGATGTCAAGCGCGAAGGCACCTATGCCTACGCGCCAGAGACAGGCCCTGCCGATGGCTGCTCCGCAGCCGTCTCCTATTGGAAAAAAGCCTACGTAAACTTTGGCGAACTCCCACCCGAATACAAGGAAGACACAGATGTGTATAAGGATAGCCGGAACATCTCGCTTGTGGCCCTGTACAACCCTCAGGACGGCGCCACAGTTGACTGCGCCTACATCACTTGCCCTGTCTCCACAACGACCACCACAACAACATCCCCCACTCCCAGTGTTACCAGTGGAACTACAGACGCCCCTACAACGCAGGACGCCAGTGGTGGTGTTCTTCCTTCTAGTGCTGACCCGGAAGCTCTGAGTCCAGCGGGTTCGGAAGTCCAGGGTCGGGCGTCAGCAGGCGCACCCACATCATCCCCTGTTTCCCGTGACGAAGAGTCTGAAGACCTTCAGAAGACCGGGCCATCCGTTCGGCGCCTCTCCACTCCCTCGGAGACGGTTTCGGAGACTGTCACTGGACTCGTTTGCCTCACCAATCCTGCAGCTCTTCTACAAGGGAAAAAACCCTTCTCGTACGTTCTTGAGAATATACCGTCCTACTTGCCTCTTAGTTGTATCTCCTCCTCCAGTGGTGGTTGCCTTCCTTGGTGCACATTTTCTCAAAAGCTCTCGTCTCACCTGCCGCGTGCACTTCCTTC